GTAAAAAACCCAACTGAACAAGTGAGGTTTTTTACCCACGAAAGCTTATGCCCAAATAAATCTGTTAGTCTTTAAGGTGCCACCGGACTCCTTGTTGTTTGAATGATGAATGATATTGTATATAATGTACTCTTGAGACCTGAGGAATTCACCTGGTTCTGTTGGTGTCACATTGGATATTATGCACATTAATCCCTTGTGCGCTGTGAAATAAATGAACTGAAGTTTATTCTGAATATTTTAATGGAGGAAATGGGGTGGAGATGGGAGATGAAAATATGAGATGCGGAAACACTTCTATATGAAGCAGTTGAACAGTTTGGGGCTGTTTATAGCAGGAAGGACCAAACTGTGGCTCGTGAGCTGCATGCAGCTCTATTACAGTTAAAGTGTGAGCCCCCCACATATCCTCCTATTCTCTGCCTACCAGAGTGGGATGGGGAGCTCAGGGCTTCTGCCCTGCAGCAGGGTGGGGGGGACTATCAGTTTCTGTCCTGCAGGGAGTACGGGGGCTCTAAAGGTTTTGGCCTGGGGGGCGGGCATTAGGGCAGAACCCCCACACTCCAGTAGGTGCTGCCCTGTGGGACAGGTTGCGTGTCTTGCAGCTCTCAAACTTCTGAAGATTAGTGTATGCAGCTCGGAGGGTCAGTAAGTTTAGCCACTTCTGGTTTACAGAAATGAATAAATGGGGACATGGTGATAATAATACCCAGCTCTTATATGGTGCTTTTCATCAGTAGATCTCAAAGTATTTTACAAAGGAGGTAAGTATCATTATCCTCATTTTATAGATAGGGAAAATGAGGCACAGAGAGGCCTACAAAATAAGGAATGGAATGCAGACACGAGAGCAAGCACTTCCATTAACATTTTCTCATAAGAATTATATTATACACATCTGAAAGGAAAGTTGTTTACATAATGTAGGACTTACCTGTGGAACTCATTGCCACAATATATTATTGAGAATAAGGGTGTCATAGAATTCAAAAAAGGATTACACACTTATGACTGAAATTATCCCCAATTATCGTGGATAGGATTTTATGCTTTAAGAATGAGCCAACTTCTAATTGACAAGGGGTAAGGAAGACACTTTCTCCAGTAGTAAGTTAGTCCCTAATTGTCTAATAAGGGTTTGTTTGTTTGTTTGATCTTCTTATGAAGTATCTGCCACTGGCCCCTGGCATATTGGTCTGATTTGGTATGGTAACTCATAAATTCGTTTATGCAATTGAGTGCAGTGAGAACCCGTTTTATTTCCTATCACAAGTAGTTCTCTGAACTGAAGACGTCATGTTTAAAGTAGTAAAGATTGATTTTAATTAATATGTTCATAAACCTGAAAACATAGATTTGTCTGTATTTTATCCAGTGTCCACTACACCTGTAACAGGATCTTAAGGTAGAGGCGGAGGTTACTTCTGAAAGCCCCATTAGTTTATTAGCAGGCAGGCTGTTTTCTACCTGAGAGATCTCCATGCAATCTAAGAACAGCTTCTTACTGTTGTGCAATACCAGATATGCACAATAAACAGTACTGGGGGACATAGTCACACAGGTTTCCTGATATATTTGCTGCTCCCAAATGAGTCCAGCCAAGAAAACCATATGTTTTATCTAAATATTCAGTAAGTAGGTAGCTTCCTATAAGAAATTAAATAAATCTTAACAGCTTCTGGCCCATTAAGGGTACATCTATATTAGAAGTCTCTAGACCAGTGGTTCTCAATTTTTCTTTTTGAGGACCACTTGAAAATTGCTGAGGGTTTCAGCGGACCACTTAATAATCTTTCCAAATGTTGTTTGTACAGTTAGCTAACTATTGTAAAGCGCTTTGAATAAAAGCACTATATAAAAAAACCTTAATAATAATAAACTTTTTTTGGTCTACAAATAAAAGCACACAACTTATATTTTAATATCAGTAATCTTAGCTTTCTAATGCGATGGATGTGCCCTCTATCCTCCTCTGCAGCAGCCCCCAAGCTGGGGCTGGGAAGGAGGGGGGTCTCTCCCCCGCCACAGCAGCCACAGAGCTGAGGCTGGGAAGGAGGGTCATCTCTCCCCAGCAGCTGCAGCCCTGGGGCTGGGGAAAGTCATCTCTTTCTCTGGCTGCCACAGCCCTGCACATCCCAAATTCCCCCCACCCCCTCTTCTCACCCCACTGCCCCCTATTCCCCCCCCAGGGCCACCACCTCACCTTACAGGTGTATCTTCTCCACGGTCCAGGCACCTAATTAGTGGAGCCACACCAGTGCGGCTCCACTAATTAGGTGGGTTCCCCTTCATTTTCTCATGTGTGGCCGCCCAGGCATGCACCTTAGAGGGAACGATCTGCAGACCAACTGAATGGTGCTCGCAGATAACTGGTGGTCCACAGAAGTTTGAGAACTTCTGTCCCAGACATTTACTATAGCAACTGAAGCGTTTTTCCCCCTGCTGTAGTAAATCCAGCTCCCTGAGAGAACAATTCTTCCATTGATCTAGCTGCTGTCTATCTTCTATGGTGTCCACAGTAGGGGTTAAGTTGACCTAATAACTACATTGCACAAGATGTGGAATTTTTCACAGTGCCAAGCAATATAGGTAGGTTAACCTATGTTTTAAGTGTTGCCTAAGGATTAGAGGGGAATGTAATGTAATGCTCTGGTAGTGGATGCTGTTGCTCCCACACAAGTCTGCGCACAGCACGAGACACTATCTGCACTCGCTCACCCGTCCCTACAACCCCTGGTTGCCTGGGGGTTAGTGGGAGGCTCTTTATGGGCTTCAGCAGCAGCTGGAACAGGCTCAGTAGCAAGGGAAAATTTACTTTCATTTTTATATTTAAACCAATGGCAGCAGCTCAAGCCCCCCAGTGAGGCAAACTCCTGCCTGGGGACGAGTCTCACACCGTTTCATAAAGCCCCAGCTCCTGGAGTCCCGTGTTGGCGATGCTCTCGCCTCCCACTGATCACACTGGGCTCCGCTTGCGGAGAAAGACTCAAAAACGCGTCCCCACCCCCCGAAAGGCTCCAGCCTTCCCCTTTCCCCGGCCCCGGTCAGCTCCAGGCCAGGTCACAGCTATGGCGAGAGGCCGAGAGGCCTCCCCTGGGCAGGGTCCCTGTACGCTGCGGCCTAGGCCCTGGCCTGCTCCCTGGGAACGTACATTGCCATAGCAACGGCTCTCCGGCCCTGAAAAATCCAGGCGTAGCGATGGCAACCCTGGGCCTAGCGGCCGCCTGGCAAACAGTGGGGGGGCGGGGACCCCTCCCGCCTGCGCTGCTCCGCGTAGACACAGACACGAGGACAAACTTGGGCGAGCAGCGCCACCCACAGGGGCCTTGGAGGAGCGCAGAACCCCGCCCTCCCTGTGAACCAGTTTCCGCGGGGGACCTTATGGATGTAACACCAACCAGAGGTGTGGGGGCCGACTGGCTGCCCGTTGCCGGAAGTGACGAAGGGAGGCGGTGCCCAGCCCCGTGGCAGCAGCCCCTGCAGGAATAGGCGGCCCTGGAAGGGGGCGGAGCCGTTTCAGCTTCGCTGAGCTTCGGCGTGTCCTGTTCACCCCTTCCTTTTCTGGCTGCCCGGGGAGCCGGTCGCGGTGGCAGCGCAGCGATGGCGCTGAGCCTGACGGTGAACTCGGAGGTTCCCCCGCTCGGTAAGCGCGGCCCGGCCTGGCCCTGACCCGGGACCCCCGGCCCGCTGCCCTCGGGGGCCGCACCCGGCCGGGTTGCTGCCATGTTGCATCATGCGGCGCTGGGCGCCGGCTCCTCCATTCATCCCCGCGGCCGTGCGGGGGCGCGGAGACAGACGGGCGTGGGGCAGGCAGCCTGACCCTTTGGGGTCTGCGGAGCTAGGCGGTTCCTGGGCCCCGTGGGGCTCAGCCCCGCCCCCCAGCCTGATTCATTCTGCCCGGGCTGAGCCCCTGTGCCTGGCTCCCCCCGCACTCGCGGGGCGGGACTGCCCTGGGGGCTGGGGGGAGCGGGGTAAAAGGGAAGTGCCGGGGGTGGGGGCTGTTGATGTCTCTTTGGCACGCAGGATCCTTCGGCCAAAGCTGCCCGCAGGGCGCCCCCCCAGCGGCTCAGGTCTCCCCTGTTCGGGGCACGGCGCTGAAGAGGTTTGTGCTCTGTCACTGGGGGCTCAGCTCCGTAAGTGGGTCTTGTCACCTGCCTGCGGAGAAAGTGATTTAAATACTCTACTACCAGCTTTCTGAAACGACACGTCATCTGCATGGCTTGCCGTGGGTAACCTTGTAGTAATGGAAAGCTGGATGTAGTAAACAGCGACCTGAGAAAATAAACTGGGAGCAAATTATAGATTGAATTATGGTCTTGTTCAAATGTGGCATTTTATTGATAATGGAGAACAACAGACTAAATGCGCGGACAACCATAATGAGCTAGGGAGATGCTCCCCCACTTTTGCTAATGTATTTCATCCCTGACTGGCAACAACCTGGCTATTGCAGTGGCTTCTCTCCAATCGACTGCTGGCTCTGTGGCTGTTTTTAATATTTAATGGAGATGTTGATGCATTTAGTGACTTACTTAGAGGTTCTATTTATAATTGGGTTTCTTAAGTTACTTCACAGGTTGTAGACCAAATTTTTGAAGTGGCCTCAATCCAGCTTTTGATTTATTTGCTAATTGTTTCATACACAGATGCCTTTTTCGGTATACAGATAATTGTATGTGCAAAAGTAGAGACTGCATTTGCAAAATTCATTGCATGTCTAATGGCTTCCTGTATACAGTGGTGGTGTAGTTGTGTTGGTCCCAGGATATTAGAGCGACAAGGTGAGTGAGGTAATACCTTTTATTGGATCAAATTCTGTTGGTGAGAGAGACGAGCTTTGGAGCTTACAGAGAGCTCTTCAGGTTCGGTTGATGTACTCAGCAATCCGTTCCATCTTGTATTCGGCGGTGATGCTGAGGACTTTTCCCAGACCTGAAGAGGAGTCCTGTATAAGCTTGAAAGGTTGTCTTTCTTGCCAACAGAAGTTGGTCCAGTAAAAGATCTTACCTCATCCACTTTCTCTCTCTAGTGGCTGTTCATGTCAAGATCTAGTTCAACATTGCATGGCACATTCTCTTTGCTCTCTTTCCTGCTTCAGTTACTCATCTAGCCAAGGCTTCTCTTTGTCCCTATACTCTGTCTTACCATTGTGTGTGCAAAAACTTTCTCTGTAACTGCTGCTATCTGGAAACAACCTTTCACCCTTCTGCCACACTGATTCTCCATCTCATTGCAAATCACTGCTGAAGATACAAGTTCTTGCCTTGCCTCTGTGCCTTAATTTTTCTTTCTTTATGCTTTTGTAAATTGCATTGTTCAACTCTAGAAAGCATTTTGGGATGCAGTTTGTACGAGATGATTTAAAATATATGTGGCTGTATATTTAAACAAAATCCTGCCAAATAAAATTTAAAGTTTAGAAACGTTCACTCTACTAAGCATTTTCTAATAACGTCTGATAAGAGAGGCAATGTGGTCTAGGAGATAGAGTACTTGCACAGGAGAGCTGAGTTCTATTCCTGGTTCTGCCTCAGGCCTGCTGGGTGACCTTTGGCATGTCGCATCACCTCTCTGCGCTTCAGTTTCCACATATGCAAACTGGGGATAATGATATGATCTACTTTGTAAAGCACATTGGGATGTGCTGATGAAAAGTCCTCTAAAACACTTTTTCAGCATGTGGTCCATGGACCCCTGGGGGTCCGCAGACATGTCTAAGCTTTCCAAAGGGGTCTGCACTGCCATTTGATAATTTTTAGGGGTTCCCAAATATAAAAAAGTTGAAAACCACTGCTATGAAGAGTTAGGTGGTGTTGTTATTATTGTTATGGAAGACCATACAAAATTGTAATTAGTTGAGGACTTATTTTGTATTTGACAGCTGCTACTGAGTTAGAGTATGGACTTTAGATTAAAGGATTCTTAGGCCTGGTGTACATTAGGAAATTAGATCAGTGTAACTATGTCACTCAGGGGTGTGAAAAATCCATACCCCAGAGCGATGCAGTTAAATTGACCTAACCCCTTGTGTGGACAGTGCTAGGTATTGCCTTTTAGGGAAGTGGATTATCTATGCTGACAGGAGAACCCCTCCCATTGGTATAGGTATTGTGTATGCTGAAGTGCTACAGCGCTGCTGCAGTATTTTAAGTATAGATGAGCCCTTATGGATAACATTGAAACACAGTGAACATTACAAATATAACATTTTTATTTAAGGAAAAATAATTTTCTAAAAAAATCAAACACTTTTTTATCCTAACTTTTCCTTGTTCATATTAATAATAGTTCTTATGAAGTAGGGAAAAAAAGTACTAACTACGAATGTAATTTATGTTAATTATACAGTTCAGCACCTATGTAGTTCTTTTCATCTTCAAAGCATTGTGCAAACATTAATTAATTCTTGCCTCTTTCACAAAGATACTGCAAGTAATATTACCCCATTTTTACAGATGGAGAACTGAGATGAGGGCCATTAAGTGTCAAGCTTAATGCCAGAGAGGGAGTCTGACAACTGGGATCAGAGTTTGGGAGTTCCTTGCTCCTAGTGCTCTGTTGAGGCTAATTTATTAATACAACCCTTTGTAACTTAAAATACAGACAGTGGAGTGCATAACAAAGAGCTGTAATAGGCTTTACAGCGTAAGACTCTGATCCTATAATTGGATCTGCGCAGGCTGCCCCTTGTGCATGTGTGGAGGCCTGTTGACTTCACACAAGGGTATCTTGGTCAGAGAGGAGAGGCCAAGGGCCTCGTCGCCAGACTGTCAGAGCCCATGTACATTGACAGTACATTGTGTGGATGCTTTCTGTACTCTTATGGATAAAAATATGATTTCAGTCTTTAGGGTGGTTAATCTTTTCACAAGCATTAAATCTACTTTAAAAAAAAACTGGACCTGATCTTTTGTCTCTCTTCTTTCTCTATGCCCCCAATGGTAGTAGCTGAGGTGCATAGTATTGACAGACTTAAAATGTTGATGTGGCACAGCCTTACTGTGTGAAGGCAGTTGTCCAAGATGTTTTTTCTCCAGAGTGTAGTCTCTTTAGTGGCATTTGGGTCATGACTATTTTTAAGTGATGTGTTTAGCTAATGCTGCTTTAGGCCTCTTACGAAGAGCATGTGGCAGGCCTGTGCTGAGGAGTAGATGACAGCAATATTCATCTCAAACAATTTGAGCGAGTCTCTTCTCTAGCTTGGTGTGGGATGGGATGAGTTTTCACAGTATCCTTGGGAAGCAAAATAACATCAAAACCACCCAGTTCTGAGTTCGCTGCAGATTACTGTGCACCAGCTTTTATCCCTTCCTCCAAGACCATAAGGACTGCCAGGAAAAAGCTGCCTGTTTATAGACTAAAACATTGATTTCTTCCCTTCACCCCCTGTGCCTTTCAGTCTGAAGGCACCAGTTAAGACACATTGGGCTGGGGGGTGATGAATAAAAAAATGTAATTGTAACATATGAAATAGTCTTTACTTAGGAGAAAGATCAGCCATATTTTATCTTTTCTTTTTTTTAGGAGCTTTGCTAACTGTAGAGCATGTGAAAAATGATGTCAAAATTTCGGTTGAAGAAGGCAAAGAGACCATCCTCCGTGTATCTGAGTAAGTGACTTTGCATCTCTGCTATCAGCATTGGGTCAGCGTTTTTTAAAATTGATGTAATGATGACAGTAATCTTTTGCAGGGAGAGAGAAAGAGCAGTACTGAAATTATCATTGCACTGTATATTTTTTGCAAACTGTTGCAATTTTTACATTTTTTTAATAGTTTTCATCTTCTAATGGAAAGATTAGAGAGTGGGAAAACATTTAAAGAAAGGTTGAGAGACCTCTGCTGCTTATGATGTACACATACTTTAAATAATATTTAGTCTATGTACTCTAGCTCCTAATATGGTGCCTATCACTATATTATCTAAAGCATTCACCTCCTCCATGTGCTGTGGATTCTCATAGTGGTAACCATCTTGTGATAAACAAGTGTCTATATAAATGTATATACAGCATGAGCATGTGTCTCTGTGCATGTGGTGGTGTGTAAAGGATTTTATTAATATTAGTTTGGGTTGACCACATCACGCATGAGAAGGGAAGCCACAGTGTCATCCCAAAAAAGTGCTGATTAACTCTGTAGCATGTCATCCCATATTTTGTTTATGCCACATCTTCTAGAAAGAAGCTATATTAAAAAATGTCTTTTTATTGACACTGATTTTTGCATCCTTCCCCTTCTAAACCATATGCTATTTTTGTTTTCTTGGAGTAGCAGGAAAAAATAATACCAGTAAGTTCTAAATATTTTTCAAACTGGTTTCCTTTAAATTGTAAAGTTAAGGATTTTAAGAATTAATACCTTATGATTCGCCAAGGATAGAAACACAGGGCTACATGTCCTGCAGACACAACTCCATTGACTTAAGTCGAGCTGCACCATCTTGTCTGTGTACATCACCAACATCATAGACAATTGTACCTATAGAAATCTGGGACATGCAGGTCTCCTGTGGGACAAGCATGCTTCTGGTTTTAAAAGTTAACACGATATTGGACTTTAAAACTGTCGCTAGTCCATTACTTACTATGCTGAGATTAAATTTTCAGTCCCTATTTTTATCCAATCATATTAGTGCAGCTGTGACAAACTGCTGATAGACTGGAAGTTTGAGGTGCTTCAGTGGAGACTCTAGACCAGAGTGCATCTGAGGTCAAAGGTGCAACATAAATGCAGGTTATCTGATGGTTGGAGAAATATGCCACACGTAGGCATGAAATTATGGACGCCCTAGAGTGGCACCATAGTTAAGTTTGTATCAGGCTTTTTGCCTTAAAGGATCTTTACAAAGGGGCTGTTCATCAATACCAACCTCTACTAAGAACAACTGAGACAAACCGATGAGTGATAAAGCCTTCAGTTACAGTGATCGCATAGTGCATGTTCTATAGGATGGTCTTGTGCTTATAGAACTGGCCTTGGACCCGAGAAGAGAGCGATCTTTCTGTACCTCTGGCTTCCTGTGTCACACTGAACAAGTAATTTAAACCTAAGACTTTAGAGGTGGCCACTAATTAAGCTCTTCAGTTTGCTGTATTTATCTTCTAAAAATCAACTGTAAACTAAAATTATAAATAATTACACAATACACAGTAATTCTCATTTTAACTATTCCACCGTAATGCATGATGAAATTGTGTGGCAATTCTTTTCAGTCCTTTGCTATGCATTTTTGAACTCCTTGATGCACACTTAATTATTCAGGGGCTGATCTTTTCAACCATATATGATATTTTCCCCCTCTTACTTTTTTCTTCTTTTTCTCATTTGTACATAATTACAAAATAAATACATTCACTTGACTTTCTGCATGTATCTGTCCTTCAGAATTACTCTCCTAATAACAATGTTATTGGGGAAGGATAAGGTGTAGTATTTTGTACAACTTTAAAAAAAATATTTCTTTTGTCCTAAGCATTTGTATGCATGGATGTTGCCCTTAAGCAACCATAACTAGCTATTAACTAACTTTTTGATTTCTGGATTATGTATTTACACACACAATACATCACATGTGGGAATAATAAACCTGAAATTGCCTGAATTTTTTACTGCACCCATGTAGTAACCTTCTTTATTTCTGATTTTATGTAAAAAATTTAAGTAACTTTATATTCCTCTCTCCCCACGCAGCAAGGCCCTGCATTGCAGGAGGCCTCGCTTCAGTGGTGAAGGATTGGCTAGAGTGTGAAGCAGGGGGCTCTTCCTTTTCCCCCTCTGCACTCCTGACACAGATCAGGACTCAAACACTGATTTCTTCCTCCACCTGCCCCCAGGAGAGATGGAGTGTTGCACAAATACATTTTAAATTTGTACAAGCAAACAGGTTATAGTTAGGCTTGGAAGGACTAGATTTTTATCAGTAAAGGTTGATTTCACTGTTCGCACACCCAATGGAAAAATATTTCCATAAATAATCAAAATGTGCAGATAGGCAAAGTAAGAAAAATGCTGCTTGAGAACTTCAGTTTGATTTAAGTATATTTACTTTGGATATTTAGACGCGATGTTGACAATTTGTGTTTTAATGAGTATAAAGTGTTTGCTTTTAGAATCTGTTTCTATTAAATAACTATTGTCTGACTCGCCCCCCCATAATTTCCTGCAATTGTGAAAATTTAAATCAACAAAAACAGAAAAATTGCTAAAAACCCATTCATAACTGTGAATATTTAAATTGATACAATTTTTTTTAAATAAACCTCAATATTTGTAAAATTATGCAAAATAGGTTCTGCCAAGCCTTCTAATGGTTGCTATTTCCTATTATTCTTGCTTGAGGAATCATTTCATCTGTCAAGATTGCATTAACCTTCATCTCTGTTCATCTGTATGGAGTCATCTTTACAATTTATTTCCTGTAATGGGTCTCTCTTAAAATGGTAATTGTAGTCTGAGAAGCATCAGCTAAACTGGTTTTTGGACTAATGCTCTTGGTAAATAGATTCCATTACATTGACGAACAGGGACTACTTTTTCTTGGCACAACTTGAGGGACATCTCAGACTTAGATTTTCAGGAAATCATTGGTACTAGCAACTTCCTTCCTTCAAGAACATGTTGCATTTTAAGCTTGCTTTTTCTTAAGAGGAATGTTTTGAAGTGCAGTTAAAATCTGATTGTAACTAATTTTTCAACCAATAAGCTGAACAGTATCAAGTAACTTAGGATGTAAAATAGTGTTTTGATGGGTAAGGTTACCAGCTGGATTCAATTTGAAAATAAGATATTTATTTTATTAAACCTTGATG